TAATAGGGATACTTTATTGCTTGGTGTATTCTCTACTTTTTTGCTTTTTCTTTTTACCTATATCCCTTGAAAGAGAGAGAAAACGGGGAGCTGGGGTTGGGGAGAGGCTGATGTGAGGAATCTGTTCTCCCACGTTTTTTCTACTGAGTGCTGTTAGTCAGTGTAACACACAGTCCTAGCCACACAAGTAATGGTCTCACTGGCTTGTCCCCAGGGGTTTGTTGATTCTGGCCACTTCATGGTTTATGGCTAATTACTAGGTTTTATTTAGTGGAAAAAGTAATGCTTGACATAGGTAGCAGAATACTCATTACTTTCTTTTAGACTTCTTTACCTTTTTAGGGGAATGGTCTCCTTTGTTTTTAGCTTGAGACAAGGATAAGGACTGAACAAAACCCTATGATGACCTGTCACACTGGTGCTATTTTTAAATCTAGCTTTAGGGGTTTTTGTTTTGGCAACTTTCCTGTGGGCTGGTCCTCGTTTATAAAATAAAATACTTTGCTGGTAATTTAGTGTGGTAGCTTGCTACTTAGAAATCATGTTAACGATGAGACTAATTACTTTTTTTTGATTGTGATTAAAAGACATGGAATTTGACTCTGGGCGTTGATAATGAATTCTACTTTCTAGTCAAAGCACCATTTCTTGTGGATTTAAAGAAACCGGAGTTAAAGATTCCTCACACGGTGAACTTGTATATCAGAGTTGAACCTGGGGTGATTCTGGGAATCTGGTGAGTGCACTGATGGACACTGGTACTCTTCTGCTGTGTTGCACACGAGCCTTCCTGCACCGTTGCAGAACGGCTAGCCTCCTGGCACCCCAAGTCACACTCTCGCAGGATATGCTCTGTCTGCAACACTTGTAGGTCTCTGCTCCCTCCTTTCGCCTAACTAACTGCCTACTTGTCTTTACGGTCTCAGTTGCCAATGGTAGTGCGGTAATTTTCAGAGAAGTCCTTTCTCAGCTCCCATTTTAGGCACAGGTGGCAATCTGTGCTTGTCCTTTATGGCATTTCCCCCATTGTAGTTAAATAAATGTTTGTGCGATTATTTGGTTAATGTTTGTCTTCTTTACAAGACTATAACTTTTGTAGGTGACTTTGTTGGTAGGCATTCTTTAAAAAAATTTTTTTAAGACTTTATCCATTTATTTGAGAGAGAGAGTGAGAGAGAGAGAGAGAGAACACGAGACGGGGGAGGGGCAGAAGGAGAAGCAGATCACTGAGCAGGGAGCCCAATGTGGAACTCGATCCCAGGACCCAGAGATCATGACCTGAGCCAGAGGCAGATGCTTAACTGACTGAGCCACCCAGGCGCCCCTTTATTCTTTCCTTTCCTTTCCTTCCCTTTCCTTTTTCTTTCCTTCCTTCTTTCTTTCTTTCTTTTCTTTCTTTCTTTCTCTTTTTCTTTCTTT